TCAGACAAACTGGCTGCAACGCGTGAAAAAGACCAGCGGCTGTGATTATATATATCGACACGACTTTCTTTTGTTGTTTGTGCCGGATGTTTGCAGATGTTTGTCCATGGTAAGCAGGAAGCCTACATAGCATAGGGCATTGTATTCTGATGTATTCTATATACAGGGGATTTAATATAAAACGATTGTTTGTTGAAGGCATGGATCTGAATGCGCGTTGATCATGTTGTTTACTCGACGGAATTTACTAGTTTAAGAAGAGGGGGCAGCTCTTAACTGATTCCAGCTCAGCAGATCCATTGTGGTGGCCCTTCCAAGTAGTGCAATGCTTATTACACGTGGCTCGGCTGTTTCCACAATATGTCTCACTAGCCTGAGACTGCTCCAGTCAGACGAAGCGCTTGCCTATGCAGATACACAACGGTTTGGGATGGTACCAGGCACCTCTCACAAGTTTCAGGAAGCCGTGTTGTTGTTCTTTCACATGGTACGTGTGGATGGGATGGCTACCGGATGGCCTTTGCTTAATAGAATTTAACAATCGTAACTACAGTAATTAGATGGCCTGGCACGGTCTGGGTCAGGAAGATCACCTTCTTTTACCAGAGGTTGTCTATCAAGTACATCATGGTACAGTGGGTTCAGACAACCTTTGACCACAGTGGTAGGAAGTGGACGGGGCAGCAGGTTCGACGGTTTACCACTGAGTACCTCCTTTCAACTCAGTGGTCGGAAGTGGAAGTCATAGGTGGCCGGAAGTTAGGCCACCAGGTTTTGCCGCACCTCTGGCCTCTGGTGGATGTTTTTCGTGCCTTGCTGAGGCTGGATAACTCTGGAGATTTGCAGGACACCATCCATCGATGGCTGATCATACAAAACCATGAGTTCTTGGACAGATCGAGGAGCATGCATTTTTGTTTTGTGTGTTTCACCCTTATATGTAGCCTTTCAGAATGAGAGTGTGGTTCTTTCGTTTTGCAAGGGATTTCTTACTAAACCAATCTAAACCACTTTACAAAGGCTAAACCCTTAGAAAAGGACCCATGGACGGCCAAGCAATCCGGTGTTGGCCTGGCCCTCGGAGTACATATATGTGCTGCACCCACCAGGGCCGCTTGCTGCACACACACATAACTTGACTTGATCTTAAGTCAATCCAGTTTAACGTTTGTTTCAAAGGTGGGCAGACGAACTAAGACAACAATTTGGGTGGAACCCATGTTTGAGATTTGAGATGGTTGGGTAATACAGTGAGCGTCAGTGTTAATGCAGTATATTTCCATGTGATTGGTGTGAAATCCATACGCAATCAATGGTCCGTCAGGGTCGCTTGCCATCTCTTGCCATCTGGACACAGGTTCGCGGCGATCGCCAAAGATTTGCCTGGCTTCAGGCAGCTCTTCTGCAAAGGTTTATGCTCTGCCTTGGGCCTTCCGGCACATGGCAATTGTGTGGAGGCGTGGGGACCGAACCTCGCAGCCGTGGGGGGCCGAAAACCCGCATGTGAAACGGTGACGGACCCACGAGTTCGGTGGCTTCGCATGGTAAGTTGTGGTGCTTCTTTAAGCTTTGGTACTGGTACTCTGGTGAAGATCCTGTGAACAGGTCTGAGTCGGCCTGGCCCACACCCAGATTTGGAGGTTCTCAATGTGACCAACGGCAGCATCATCGTCGAGTTCCTCATGCGGCCACGTGCCCACACTGAGCCATGGCAGATATTCAGATCGGCTGAGTCGCATCGTGGGAGTCGTTGTGGGGATGGGAGTACGGAGTGGTTGCAACACTCTGCAAGACTACAACAGACATCATTGTTGTTTTTTTGCCAGACAGATATTCCTTTCATGCCACAATACATGGAACAATTGTATTCCAACTACAGCTATACAGCCAGACAAAGCGCGCCTCATCAAAGATGCTAATCGGAGCAAGGGCGAGTTCCAGCCTGGTTTCACTCGGGGGCGATCGAGTTCAGCAAACATATACCTCTTATCCAGTGCTCAAAAAAGGGTCACCTTGGTTCATGTTTTGGGGCGGGCCTTCGGTAGCCAGCCTTTCTTCCACGTTATTTTGGGTTAGTATTCCAATGTATTCCATAAGTTGGTTGTCCAGACCAAATCCAAGGGCACAGCCGTTTCCTTCGCTCCAAACGCCCCACGCAAATCAAGTCGTCCGCCCACTCCTGTGTCTGAGGATTCGCGGAGCGCTTTCGAGCTGAGTCAGCTCTTGGAGAAGCAGCTGAGCTCGCCCTACAGCGCCTTGCGACGAGGGCCCTTAGGCCGCCCCAGCGCCGCGCCGATGCGTCGCCCAAGGGGGTGGGCAGCAGGAGCTTGGGGGGATTGGGGTGCAGAATCTGGGGGACGTCTCTGAAATTTTATGTGGATCCTGTGGATTTTAGAGCACGATCACGTGGGATCCTGAATCCTTTGGGCATTTGGAGGTGGTGCCATTGTTGTTCGAGGCTGGTGCTGACAAATATGCGGCATGCCAGGCAGATGCAACAACTGCTGTTGCCGCTTTGTTGCGGGCGGCTGCAGCACAGAAGAGCCCCTTTTGAATACTTTTGAAGTGATGCATTTGTTGCAAATGGGGGGAAGAGCTTCACAGCTTCACCTTCAAGGGTTCAAGTGGATGTCCTTAGTTTCCTTGGTTCGGTTGGACTTGGACTTGGTGAACAACTCGTTGGGTTTCCTTGTCCAGTGCAAGGAAAAGCTTGTGGCTAAAGTATGCTACTCGTAGGGTTATAACATGTTATAACCATTCTGGACCACAATAGATGGAACATGCCCACGTGGGGAGCATGTTCCAATCTTTGGAATGCTCCACACCCGAATCACACCTGAATATGTTCCAAAGCACGCAAATCCTGCCATGTGTTGGAAACTAGTCATCAAGCATGGGCTTGCAACTCATGGCATTCTACCTGAATGATGGTCTTTTTGTTCCCACCAGGTCTCTTTGTTCTGGCTTTCCGCCTCCCGGATTCCGATGGTTTGTAGACCCCACCGGCGTGGTTGACTCGTCTCGTCTCGCGCCCTTGGCGAGGCAAATTCCTGGGGAACGCCTTCCTTCTTTCGGCCTCTCCACAGACGGTGAATGATCCAGAGCTCACAGGGATCGAAGAAGAAGAGCCAGAGGTGACTCTCATCTAAAATGGTGACTCATCAGATGGTGACTTCCTTTTGGCAAGTGCCCCGTTTTTGGTGCCCCTTTTCTTTGTGCGTTTGCTGGTCCGGCTCAGTGAAGAGCGAATCGTCCGTTCGTGAAAGCCGTTCCGTTCGATGCGTCATATATCACCCGCCTCTTCGGTCCGCCGCCCCAAGCTACTAGTAACAAGTGCCACGTTAGTAGTAACAGGTGCCTTACTAGTAGTAACAAAAAGCTATTAGAATTAAATTAATTTAAATTCAAAGCTTCTTGTAACTGCTAGTAAGGCACCTGTTCCTAGTAGCGTGGCACTTGTTACTACTAGCTTCTTGTTTACTACTATCGTCCTTTTTTTTGCGACACACGACGGGTATTTTGGGGGCTTTCATCAAACACGGCACCGGTTTGCTGGAGCGGAGATCCATGGCCGAAACCCTTGAGCCACGTGAAATGTGTCCCCTTGGTCCACACCTGAGGAGGCTGGCACGAATTATTTAGATCATTTTAGATCCCTAGATATTCCTATAACACTGTTGAGGCGGTTACCGGACAGAAGAGGAGTCCTTTGCTCCAGAGCTCGTGTGACCCCTCGTGCTCGGGGCCGTGTGAACCAACCAGGAAACTGCCGGCCACCGTGCAGGATGCCGAGGCTCGAGCCGCTTCCGAGGTGTGCACTGGTGTGCACTGGAGACTCACACAACCTCTACAGCAAGGTGGTAAGTATTTGTCAGAAACGGTGTCCATATGTGTCCCATGCTCATGCTTTGTGGTCTTGGTGTAGAGGGTATACTTGGATGTACTTGGGGAAAACTGAGTTCCGAGCCCGCTCAGACTCTCAACAATTCTCAGTTCATTATGATCCCTGGTGCATGCATGCAGGCGTTTGGTCATGTCGATCTTCCGAATCTGAATCGTTGCCGGTAGATTTGATACTGCAGTACTGCATGTAGCATTATACTATATTATTGTTAAGTTGCTTGAGTTTAGTGTTTTTGCTCGCAAGAAGTGTTTTGCACCAATGTTATTTGGAAAAAATGAAAGAAGTGTTTTGGTGTTTCCGTGGCCAAGTCTTAAAACACTTGCACAACCAATAACCATTCGACCCTTCTTCTCACCCTCAATACCCTGAAACACTAGAGCCATCAGTCACAAATTCCCAAAGCGCAAGCACCAAATGCCGTTTTTTTAACAAAAAAATGCAAGCAGTCTCACTGATCCAAAGATCAGCTCTTCTTGAACAGCTTTCGCAGGTCTTCAAACAAACTTCCTACAAAGTGTTTACAAAGTTTTGGATCTTTACAACAATTTGACAAAGTTTTGGAATTACACTTTTTTACCGAGTTTTTGCATTACAAAGTTTTAACAAAGTCTACAAAGTTTGAAAATAGAAATAACAAACTTCACAAAGTTTTGGAAACTTACAGTACATTGAACTTTACAAAACTTTGGAACTACGAAGTTTTTACAAAGTATTGAACCTTTAGATATCTGAACAAAGCTTTGGACATTTATCAAGCTTTGAACAAGTTTTGGAATTTTACAAAGTTGTTACCAAGTTATTGAGTTTGAAAGTTTTTACAAAGCTTTTGCAAAAGTGTTTGATGCTTACAAACTTTCTACAAAGTTTCGTTGTTTTTTCAATCTGTGTCAAAACTTTGTAAACTTTATTACTTGAAAACTTTGCAAAACGTTGTAAACTTTGTAAGAACTTTGTAAACTGTGTAAATACTTTGTAAACTTTGTAAAAGCTGTGTAAGCTTTGTAGAAACTTTGGTGAAATTCTAAAACTGTGTAAACTTTCAAAACTCTGCAACAACTGTGTAAAGATTGAAAAAATTGCAAACTTGGTCAAAACTTCGTAAACTGTTGTTAAAATTGTAAACTTTTTAAACACTGAAACACTTTAAACTTCGTAAACCTTTGTAAAAAACTTTGTACACTTTGTAAATCTGTGTAAAAAACTGCGAAAACTTTGTGTAAAAAATTGTAAAATGCGAAAACTTTGTCAAAACTTTGTAAACACTTGTAAACTTTGTCAAAACTTTGTGAACTTTGTCAAAAAGTTTGTAAACATTGCAAACTTTGTACACTTTGTACTAACATGTTGTAAACTTTGTAAACAACTTTTAGATGTTGTAGGCCTTCGTAAACTCTATTTAAAAAAAGACCGTTATAAACTTCGTAGCACTTTGCAAACTTTGTAAAACGTTTTTAAACTTCGCAAACTTTGTCAAAGCATTGTAAACATTTTGAAAGACCTTGTGAACGTTGTGAAAACTTTGTAAACTTTGAACATTTTGTAAATTTCCTCAAAACTTTCTACAAATTGTGAAACTGTACAAACTTTGTAAAAACTTTGTAAAATGTAGAAAGAAACTTTGTAAACTTTGCAAATAAATAAACTATCAAAACTTGTAATCGTTGTCAAAACTTTGTAAACTTTGTTGAAACTCTGTAAACTTTGCAAAACTTCGTAAACTTGGCAAAATCTTTGTGAACTTTCCAAAATCTTCAAAACTTTGTAAACTTTGTAAAAACTTTGTAAATTTGTGTAACAAAAGGCAAATGTCGCAAACTTTGTCAGAACGTTGTAAACTTTGTAAAAACTTTGTAAACTTTGTAAAAACTGTGTAAACTATGTAAACTTTGTAAAAACTTTGTAAAACTTTGTAAAGTTCTGTGAAAGAAGTGTTTTTGCACGATTTTTTTGCTTAAAAAGATGTGTTTTTCATGTCATTTGTTGCAAACATAAGTGTTTTTCACCAGCCATTTGTAAGCTTTGTAAAAACTTTGTAAACTTTGTAAAAAAATTGTAAACTTTGTAAAAACTTCGTAAACTTTGTAAAAACTTTGTAAAAACCTTGTAAACTGTGTAAAAACTTTGTAAACTTTGAAAAACTTTGTAAACTTTGAAAAACTTTGTAAACGTTGTAAACACTTTGTAAACTTTGTAAAAATTTTGTAAACTTGAAAAAGCTGTTGTAAACTTTGTAAAAACGTTGTACAACTTTGTAAACTTTGTAAAAACTTTGAACACTTTGTAAGCACTTTGTGAGCCTTTGTAGACTCTTTAAAATTTGAAAAACTGTGTAAATTCCGAACTTTGCAAGAACTTTGTCAAATTCCAAAGCTTTCTAAAATCGTTGTAAACTTTCAATACTGTGCAAAAACTGTGTAAACTATAAACTTTGCAAATTTTGTGAAAGCTTTGTAAACTATGTAAATACTGGGTAAAGTTTGCAAATGTTTGTACACTTTGAAAAAACTCCATGTAAAATTGTAAAATTTGCAATCTTTGTAAAAAATGTATAAACTTTGTACAAGCTTTGCAAACTTTCAATACTTAAAACTGTGTAAACTTTGTAAAAACTTTGTCAAAATTGCAGCAACATTGTAAAACTTTCAATACGTCTTTAATTGATTTTTTAATGGTAAAACCTTTGTAAACTGGGTAAACTTTGGAAATTGTCCAAAACTTTGTAAACAGTGTTAAAATATTGTAAACTTTGTAAAACTTTGTAAACTTGGTAAACGGTTGTAAAACTTTGCAAACTTCATAAAACCTGTGTAAAACTTTGTAAACTTTGTACCAACTTAGAAAGCCTTGTAAAAACGTAGTGAACTTGGTATAAACTTGGTAAACTTTGTCAACACTTTGTAGACTTTGTAAAACATTTTTAAACTTTGTCAAACTTTGTAAGCTTTGTCAACCTTTAAACTTGTAAAACTTTGTAAGAACTTGGTAAAACTTTATTAAGACGTTGTAAAATTCGCAAACTTTGTAAAAAGGTTTACAAACCTTCTACGAAGTTTTGGAGTTCTTCGAATTATTCTTCAAAGTTAGAGCAACGTTTTACACAGTTTTTAGAACGTTTACAAAGTTTTTTATTTTTACAAAGTTATACAAAGTTTACCAAACTTTCACAAAGTCTCAAGATTTTGTACAAAGTTTGCAACTTTTGCAAAGAGTTGACAGAGTTGTTGAATTACAAACAAACTTACAAAGGTTTACAACGTCTACAAAGCTTTTACCATGGCCGTTCACTCACCACTCACGAGACAAACAAACCTATGAAATAGTCCTTTGGGTCTCGTATGTTGCCACTAACAACGCAACAACAAGACGTGTTTTATACCCTCTCTTAGTTCTGAACAACCAATTCTTCAGAGGTCCGCAAGGGTCAAAAACACTTCTTCTGCGCTAATTCCCCCGAAACAACGAACGACGGTCCCCAAGCAACTTAACATATATTATTGTTCCTATTGCGCCTTCAGTATAAGTTTGTTTAAAGGTTACTGCGACGACTTCCACAGGAAGGATCCAAACTGATCCAAGTATCCCATCCTCCCCAAGAAGTGATCCTGGATAAGTCAAGACCACCAGCCTGGGATATACCGTGATCCGTTGCAAAGACTCTGTCAGCCAAACCAAAACCAGTTGCACACCCTCCTCTGTATAGAAATTCCATGAAATTCCCACACGAACGATCCCATCCCCAGAAACCCTGGTATTTTGAGGCACCCAGAATCAAACCTCAATCCAGCAAACCAGTTTCTTAAGCCCTTCCGCTCAACCAACAGCATCCTCAATCCCGAGTTTCTCCAACTTGGAGTCCCAGCAGGCCATCATAGGCCGCCAACCAGAGGAAGTTCCAGCTGCCCTGCTTCGCCAGGCGCAGACCAACACCTTCGAACTGGGCACACCAAGGGCTGTCGTCCTGAAGGGTGCAGCCGCCTCGGGCGCTTGCACGCGCCAGGCCCGCTTTTCGTGCGCTGAATTCAGCTAGGAATCGATAAGAATTCCGCAAGTGTTTTTCAATAAGCCTGTGCCACTTTAGGGTTCCATATCTTTGTTCTGATGGTTTGGTTCGGGATGTGAACTGTACATCGCTTGGTTGGAGTCCAGCCAGGCCTGAAGCTCGACCGGGCATATGTATCCATCCCAGTGGATCCCCGTTGAAGGAACCAGGGTCGTTCCGAAACGGTCTAAGCTTCAAGTCTTTTCTTTTGAATCACTATATACTATACGGTAGTATACAGTAGTTATATAGCTATATATATATATAGTATATATATATAGTAGTATATAGTAGTGATATTAGTATATATATACGACTATACAGTAGTTATATAGCGGACTGAATTTCCTCTATAAACCATGGACCTTCGGCGGTCCATTTGGACCATTTTGTAGAGGGTATACTATGGAGAAAACAGCGCGTGGTTTTTTAGAGTGACCCACCTCGGGGTCGTGTATTTTATAGAAACCACTGTGTTTGGTAAATCATGGGTGCATGGAATTTATAGATGAGATGATTTGGATCATTGCTCTTATATAATTGAATAATGTCACCCCGGGTGGCTTATCATTTCATACAGATCATTTTATAGAGAATCATTCTGAGAATCATCCAAATGTGTCCTGATTCAACATAGATGAACCATGATCAACTACCATGTATGTTGGGCTCGGCGAGAAGAAGAGAGGAACGTGTCTTTTCAAAAGGCACCCTGGACCCTGGGGTGTCCACTGTAAAATTAGGCCACCTACTCTATGTCATCAGCTATATCGACTTGATATGGATATTAGGGTAGGTGATTCTATAGGGCCCCCTTGGGAGAGCATGTCTTATCAGTTCCAGATTGCAACCATGGGTGTGTGATTCTATATTCTGAAGCCTTTTATCCCTTCTTTGGGTGTTTGGATTTTATAGTGAAGAACCCTGGGGGGGCGGGGGGAATGTATATCTATAAGATGACCACCCAAAACACAGGGTGGGAGAATTCCTTTCCATCCCCGTTTTCTACGTATGGATCCACTGGATCCACTGGGCGGTGAAAAGAATGAACGGGTGGAGTTCCGGGTGGACCCTTCAGACCGACTCCAGGCTGTACGACTTGTAGTATCGAGCGAGTGGATCTGGGGCACCTCGTCCCTCCTTCCCTCCGAGTGGATAGAGCTCTCTGACGTCGTGGCGCAGGAGGAGGAAGAGGCCATGGAGAAGCTGCGTGAAGCGGTGCGCTTGCTGCAGGACGCGCGACAGCGGCAGAAGAAGGCCAAGGATGGAGAGACGCTTGGCTGCAGGTCGTCAGCGCATGTCAGCGCCCACGTCTGTGGAAAGTCGCTGCGGATGAGACATGTCCGGCAGGGTGACAGGATGTGATCGGCACATTTTATTGAGCTCTTTTCTTCTTTTTTCGACCCAAAGGACGTGCTCATTTGTCCAGAAGAGTCGGCTGAGTTCATGCAAGTCTCACATAGCGAGGGGTTCGGTGGTGTTGGAGGACCGTTCTTTTTTCTCTTTTGTTTCGAGTTTGTTCCATCATGTTCTATCAAAGCATCTCGTGGGAATGGTTCTCCAGCATCTTGTTCCAAGATGTTCTTAAGTTTGTGATTCCTCATTGCTCTCTCGGCATTTCTAATGTCACTGCTTGACCCTGGCGTTTTTCACCCAGACTCACAAACGATCATGACAAACGATATCCCCCAAAAAGCCTCCTCCTTTGTGCATCTGTTCATCCCTTCGTTCGCCATGGGTCGCCCTTCGTCCCTTCAGGAGGCGAACCGTGGAGGAGCTGAGCGGCGCGTTGCGGGACGATGGGCGGTGTGAGGACATGCGACGTCCCACCCAAGCCGAACGGAAGGTACGTGGAGAACCTGCAAAGCCTTTCCGACTTGGGGATTGGATTGACCATTGGTCTGAACATGAGCAAGTGAGCAACGGTGAAGACCGCAAACACCGAACAGGTGAACTGTACCGAACAGGTGAACAGGTGGACAGATCTTCACCAACCCTAGGGATCCTGGCCCATCTCAGAAGGTGGTTAGACCCCTAAACCCACCCCAACCACCAAACCTCAGGAGCTAGTTGGAGCCCTAGGGCAAGATGGATTTGGTACACCCGAAGAAAACACTCCTGGAGTGTCTATCAAACAATGTAGAGAACCCCTAAATAGAAGTTCGTAGATCCCGATAGATCCCCACTGAACATGTCTTGGACACCGTGCCGCGCCACTATCTATTTAGGGAATCACCAGTTCATCTGAACTGGAGGCTTCGACTCGCAATTGACCGGCTTCGACTCGCAGTTGCTGCTTTTGGTGTCAAGACTTTGCTGAACTGAACTGCGCGGGAAACGACTTATACTGGAGTGCGTCAGTGAGCCAACTGGTTTCCCTGCAACATCCAGTCTGACCCAGGGGCAAATCTGGTCCAACTTACCTCCATGAGTAGTGCTTTTGCATGACCAACTCCAGTTAAATGAGCTCATTGACTGTGAAGGTGACTGGTGGGGCGTCAAAAACCTCGGTCCCAGTGTTTTGGTCCAAGCCATTGTTGCAGGAGATCAAGAAGCGTGATGTGCTGATCGCGCAGCTTAGAGAAGAATTGTCCTGAGTGTCACCTGAAGTGAAAAGCACTTCAATTTCACCGCCCGCTGGGACAATCCCAGGGTGTCTTGTGTCACAAGAGCCATGTTTTGTCAAAAATGAGATGCTGATTCAAGCGGCCAAACGGGGTAATTATTGTGTATGACAGTCGCAAGACTTGATGAGTTGGGTGTTTTGTCATCAGTTGCCCCCAGCAACATAGCACCATTGGTGTGTGTTCAATGATTGGTGGACCGCTGGTCCCTGTGGTCGCTTGTGGAAGGTCTTCCAATTCCCGTCACTGCAGCCATTGGCTTGTGTAGAGCTTGGTTCTGCGTGGATTTAACTGCTGGACGAACTCCCCAACGGAACAGCAGCCAATTCCAAGAACCTATGGGAAAAATACCTCATGTGAGCCGTACATTTAGATACATTTAGACGCTGCCGGATCGTTGGCTGGGTTTCATTGTTTGCATTTGCGGCCACTGAGGTTCAACTGGGGGCTGGATCTGAAAGCAGTTTCCGGAGAATTGGGCATTGACAGGTATTGAAAGGCAGAGGTGATCAGTTGCTTTACCAAATCATCCACCCCTCATTCACCTTCAAGCGTGACGATGAAGATTACCATGCAGCAGATGACTTGCAGGATGGTCATTCCTGAATTGATGCCACGTGATGATGCCTGAGGCGACCATCCGGGACTTGCTGTAAAGAAGCAGCTGAGAGACTGTCATCAATGTGATGATGAGCTCACGCGCAGACTGAGCAAGGTGGACATGGTTCTCGGCAAGACCAAGTCGGCGGAGAATGACCAGAGACTTGTTGCATTTCAGAACAACAGAGTCACTCCAAATTGAAGGTTCTTTCTGGAAATGTTTCAGCTATTCAGACGATGTTTTTATACATACAATTTTCATACAATGTTACAAAGCTGACATGTCCAGGAATGCCGCTTGGGTGGCTGCGGCCGGTCTTGGAAGAAGGGTCGTAGATAAGATAATTCTGGTGTAAGTTGGATATGTTAGCAGCTCCCTCGCTGGAAATCCTGGAATCCTTGTGGCTAACACCGCTGAACAGATTTTGTTCACTACAAATATGTCAACACCATTTTACTTAGTTAAAGGTTATGTTTGGTTATGTTTGTACGTAATGTGCAAACATGGGCAGTACCAGTATCAGAAAAGGCCTCGTTCAAAACATACATGCTTGAAGAAGTACTGTAAACGTACTGCCATGTAGAAACAATCATCCAACCCCCTGGACTGTATAACCACCTAGAAACACTTCGAACCAAAAGGTGATTCTGATTGTGTTGTGGCAAATCATGTTACATGTACCCCGAGAACCCCCAGTAAAGAAAAGGAGACACACACACAAATCTTGCTGCTGAGAACTTCCAGTGGTTCTAATTGAATGTTGCACAAGCTATTTGAGAATGAATGTGTGATGCTGCACCATTGTTTAGACTCTAGCCAATGTCAAAGCTGCTATGATGTCAAATAGTATCTACATGGCAAGCTTTCTTAGGTTTGTTCAGGATTGGAAGCATTATTGGTCTTCAAAGTCAGTTTGTTTTCCTTATGTTTTCATGCTGAAGCAGGTTCTATGATGCTGCCCCAAGGCCACATTGAGTTCAAAACAATCACAACAACATTGGGCTTCTTATAACGGTTCATCATCTAAGTCTTCTAAGTGGTGCGCTTCCAAAAAGGTTCTATTTGTCTATGCATCACAGGTTCTCAATGTCTATGTTGTCACAGGTTCGAAGTAATGTATAGTACTGTGTTTTCTTTTGGACAACGGGTTCAAACCATTTGTCGGGAACGACCTACTGACCCCAAAACGATGATCCTTGGCCATGCATTGTGCACACCGTTTGTTGATCAGTGAGGACTCGGACCATTGCTGAAGCAGGAACTTCTGATACTGGGCAGCTGCTCCAGAGCCCGATCTCTCAGCGATGGCGGCCACACCAAGCCCAGAGATCACGGTCGACGTGGCTCTGCTTTTTTCTTCCAGGAGGTCGAACTGGGAGGTCTCCCTATTTCAATACGCTTCGATCGGGTCGTTTGCCTTCAGCACTGGAGCTCTTTGATTACCCTCGTCATTCCAGTGGCGTGGCTATTTTTGATGATGTTTGCTTAGCTCGCTCAACTTGGTGATTCCAAACTCTGTGACAGACATTGCCAATGTTTGTCACCAAGTCCGGACTCAAAAAGTTGATAAGAGGTGACATTGGGGAAAGTGCTTTCAGAGACTGGATCTCCTTGACAGGCCTTATCCAACTCTTTGACCATCATTGTGATTAGCGTTGAGCGTTTTGCCTTGACATGACGCTGCAGCTCTCTGGCAACGTTGACTATTCCAAGCCCTCTGCACGTTCCATTGGACCGGCCTTCAGCGGTGGACGAGCCTTCCGAGCTCAGCGCACTCTGGTCATTCCCAACTCTGTGGCTGGTCAATTGGGAACGACCAGCCACGGAGTGCTGTATTTGGCTGCTAGAGGAGCCACTGGAGTGCTGTAGCTTCTTGAAGAGTGAAGAGTGACTGCAATAATGGATTTAGAGGCAGCTGCTTGGCAAGCGTGGTTCTCCCCAACTCTGTGAATGAAATTGCCCGGGATGCTTTTGAAGGCTGCAGCTCCTGGCGAGCTGGGTCAGAAAAGCGACTCGGCGACTATGAAGTCAGATGCCTTTCAATGTGGCAGATCTTGACTGAGCAGATGGGCATCCCATACAGCTCTGAGGAAAACTCAGAAACTGAGGCATCCCTTCACATGGTGACTCGTGCAAAACGACTATGACCTTTTTCCGTGACGAAAGAGCGGCGACCAGCAGGTAGAGAATACCTGGTTTTGGTATATATGATGTATGTTGCTATTGATGCAACTTGCCCCAGGGTCCCCGACCCCGGAGCCGACGGAGCCATCGGCTCGTCTGTGGCCTCAGGTTGCTGTGGCGCGGCACACTTGGGCCAAAAGCTGTGGGGCAGCTCAATGCCGCTGAGCTGTATACATATATGTTATATGTATTGGATTATTTATGTTGTATTATCTTGAATACTAGAATCCATGGATTTTGTGATGAGCTTCTTCAAATTCTTGGAATGTTTCTGGCAACGTGTCTATGGAAGATTCTGGGATGGTTACTTTTGAGCGTCCTGAAATATCTAACAGACAAGTTCCACTAGCAGCTCTTTGTGCGCAATGGTTAAACTATGATTGAAGCCGCAGGCAGAAGAGACTCTCCAAGCGTTTGGTTGAGGTATCAATTTCGGTGGTACACTTTCTTGGAAGCGCCCCAAACATCTCCATATATCCAGACCTGAGGTCCTGAACCCAAAGGCTTCAAGTGCTCAAAGCCTTCAAGACAGTCCTCAAGACTGGTTTCTTCGTTCGTAGCGCTCCATGAATCGCCACCCCATCGCTCCATCCCCAATCCGCACGTCGGGAGACCGATGAACGGGTGATTCGGTGAACGCGCCAGGGCCTGAGATCATGTTTGTGGCCGGGGTAGGGAGCACCCAGAGGATCCAGAGGGATCACGGAGGGGGCCAATTTGTGAACGGGGCCCAGACATAGAGGAATGGTTTGGCTTCAGAAGCAATGCAGCAAAACCAAGAATGGTTTTTGGTTTGCTTGGATTCCTATGGTCTGAGTCTGGCTGGTCTTTTGGGGGGAATCATTCCTCCGGATCTCATAAAAGAACAGGAGAGGTGCTGTCGAGAAAAGCTGCATTGTTTTGCCTCTACGATCTTTTAAGGACAAGTGAAGAGTGGTTCTTGGCAGTTTGATGTGTTCACATTTCTTGTTATTTCTTGTTTACTTTAAACATACATACAGTACAATAATATGTATATATATACAATATATATATATATACATGCAGAGAGTGACGGTCCAAACCTCAACACTCGGCCCACTCTGCAATCCACCGAGTTGTCGATAGGCTAATGGTACTCACCTATCGAATGCAGTCCACCTATGTGCAGCACTTCTGCTTACGATCTCCACTGATGCGCAGAAAACACACATACATATATCATACAAGCGAACAAGGGACAGATTGCAAATATGTATGTATATATATATATACACGGATGATCCAACATTTCTTGGCCTGACGTGTCCGCCCAGCAAGTCAGACTGTACTCGGTGCATGTTCCTTTGAACTTGGCTCCGTGTATCTTGCCTAGGATGGTATTTAAGTTTTAATGTGTGTATATAGTATACATATACATTACAGGAGCTGTGTGGGGTACATTTGTGTGACTGATATGTGTTGTCTTTCCAAACTAGCATCAACATATTGTTTGGACATCCGATCCCCACTGCTTGCTGGAGTGTTGGTTGGCCCCTCGCATTCCATCGCAATCTGCATACAGTACGTAGGTGCATACAGCAACTTTGCTTTTGGTGGGTTACACTGTCGCTTTTGCCATGGGCCATCAGAGCATTTTTTTGCAGAACAGTCAACAGGAAACCCTTACTGTTCTTGGATAAAGGACATGGATTGTAGTGCAACTTCTCGGTTTGCAGTTTGACTCGACCAGGTCAGAACACATAAACGTTGGGCACAAAGGTGTGCCGTCAACAACGCTTCAGTCAAACTCTAGGAACATGCCAGCATGGGAGAGGAGCCAGCCAGGAGCCATTGGTGTTTTTCTGCATGTTTTTCCATTCATGAAATAGGTCAATCGTACAGTTTGCCCTGATGAGTTGGGCGCAGAGATGGCGAACTCTCGATACTTCTGGTACACCCCTTTCCTGAAATAGTGTTTCGCACCCAAAAAGTGCAGCCAGAAAGTGGGTACCTTTTGGAACTCAGCCAAAGATGTGCAGAACCAGCCGAGATGGGCCGGAGTGAAACTGGGGAGAGCCATGTCCACATGATGTTCTTCCAGGTGATCAAGCGAACAGACCGGACCAACCGGTCCCGCCTCGAGGCTTCAGGTGGCAACAGCTCTTTGGGCATTGAAGCTCTGTCAGGGTGCCCAATCGGACGGGAGACGAGGCGGCCGCCAGGGTGTGGCCAAGGGTGTGTGATGTTCTTCCTTGAAACTACAAGGATGGATTCATGAATGAGCCACACGAAATGCAATGACAGTGGTTTCTTTTGTTTGTGATTTGATTGGCCAAGTTGTTTCCCATCCTGGTTTGAGTTTTCTACTGTATATCGATTGATTCAAGGGTGTTCAATTTTCATGTTTCAAGTGGCGGACGGTGCGTTCCGCTCGATCTCTCACCCTTCCGGTGCCCTCCGGTGCCCCAGAGGGAGACGTTTCGCCAAATGCGACGCTTTGACCGGGGGATCCGGTCCCATCCGAATAGACTGCATGGACCGTTTGGATAGGCCGTTGGTGTTCACCCACTCAGACCCTGAGTCCGCTGTGGGTCGAAACTGGTGGGCCGACCGGTGGACCACAGACCACCAAACATTCACAGGGAGTGCATGGGGGGCCTTCACATGGGACCCTCTCATTCTTAACTGACTCTGGGGACACTCGTGATCTACTCTTTAACTACTCTTGGACTACTCTTATTCACTCTTAAACACTCTTAACTACTCTTGAGTACTCTTAACCTACTCTTTACTACTCTTGACTACTCTTAACATCTCTTAACATCTCTTAACCTACTCGTACAACTCTTAGCGATTTTCAGGTCACTCTTATCTACTCTTCACCACTCTTGAGCACTGTCGACTACTGAATTACTGAGATGGAGGAGGCTCAAGACGGGCCCCCTGCAGGGGCTGTTGCGAACCCTGGGGTGATAGAGTCGCTTTGGAAGAGTGAATGCTCTGTTATAAGTCCACCTCTTTCCTGCCATGGGCTCTGATCAACAATGCCAGTGGGTGGCAGCGGACCTTTGGTGGGTATCAAATGTGACATGTACTATGCACGTGGGGATGAGGAAACACGTAAACAAAGACACAAGGTCTCAAGGCAATCATTTTATAGTATCATTTGGTCCAATATTTTTGTTGGGTGGGTAGACGTGCTTCAATACTAAGAGTGGCTAAGAGTGAGGGGGTCCCATGCCAGATTCCCTGCAAATAGCGATGAAAACCTAGGGTCCCCCCAGTAGCTACTCTTAGCCACTCTTAACCACTCTTGACTACTCTTAGTGTAATGAAAACCTTAGAATTCAACACTTCATGGGTGCATATTGAATAATTTGACCGCAAACAAATATTTGTCAAAAAGTCATAATTGACTGGTCGCCAAACAGGTGTTATGTTGAAATTTAGGCAAAGGTAAATGACAAACGTTGCTAAAGGCAAACTGAGCCCCTTTGTCTGCTACAGTGTGAATGTTTTTTCGACCTACACTGGGTTGGACGGGCAATACGAAGTGGTCACTGTGCAGAAAACAAACCAATGCAACAGCAATCTTGAAGGGATCTTAAAGAAGAACCTTTGGAAAGAGTCTTGGCTGTATTCTCAAGAGTGAGGGTCTCCCATGGCAGGGGGTCCCATCAACCCTCCCTGAAACATGAGCAGAACAGACGACCAGCGAGTTCAAGCTACAAGGGTTTTGGGGTTCAACTACTAGGTGGAGGCCATTGCTATTAGGTTGGAGGCCATTACTACTATAGTGACTGTAGTAACAAGAATCCACTAGTAACAAGAGGGAAGCTACAGCCATGACAGCCATCCCTTCGACTCCACCGACTGCCGAGTGCGTTTCCTTTGGAACTCGGCCACCCAAACTGCGGTCGGACGATTCAATTCCAGCTTGTTCAGAGACAATGCGTCAAGGGGGTGGGCAATCAGTGTTCTTTCTTTGATGCTACTGCTGTGTCCGACCAGCCAGACCAGGCCATGTCTTGATGACGAAGAAGGGGGAGTTTGTTGCAAGGTACATCTCGCGGACTCGAGTTGTAGGGTGGTTGGAGTGGGAGCTTTCCTGTTTTGGTGCTGTTTGGTCAATATGAACCAGGCAGACAGGAGGAGCCATCCTCAAAAAGTTATGTTCGTCAGTTGTGTTTGCCAAACAGTGTTTGCATCGGAATGGTTCTTGCTTCAAACATGCGTGCAGATTTGGGTACACACGACAATAATTTGATGCATACTGTACATAAAGCAACAAAACCAGAAACACCCACTGGGGTTTGAATTCGATGTTTGACACTCCAAACATAGTAGCTTTTCAGGGAAAA